ACACAGCGGCCAGAAGGAAAGTCTAATCTTTATAATGCTTGTATCAGAGGCATGCAAAGCTACTAGAACAGGTGTCCTTTTGGGGCTCTATGCCTGAAGCATTGACTAACAGGATCCCCACTGCTGCTAGTTGGGTTCTTGGAAAGTATGTTCACAAAACCTTTCAGTGTTTAGTGCTTAATGTTTTCATCTCTATTAAGGTGAACTTAATCATCCTTAAAATCAAACTTTATATTTTAAGTCTGTGATTACAGCACTGTGTTACATAATCAGATCCAAAAAATAAAGTACTTGTAATTAGATTAAATGGCATGGTGGTTAAAAAACATTTCTTAGTATTATCAATGCAAAAACAGTGGTGCTGATTTACATTTTTGAGGAAAACTGTAAAAAAAAAAAAAATTCAGGATTTTTACAGAACTTTCAAAGAACAGCATTTATTTAAAAAATAAATCCTTTGTAACATTATTAATGTATATACTGTCCTTGCTGAATGAATGTATTATATATTTATTTATATATATATATATATATATATATATATATATATATATATATAAAAAAAACACCTGAACAATAGTGTACATATACCGTCCTCCCATTTAATATGCATTTAAATGTATTTTCCTATCCTAACGGCATATGTCTGGATGCATTTAGCATTGTTTTTCCCTGCTGTCCATCCCTATCAGACTCATGTTTGGGTGCTGATCTACCAGTTAAGAACCACTGTATCAGATGTAATGTTCTCTAGTCTAACAAAATAGGCCACTTGTCGGTGAACTGGACCAAAGACTAGAGAAAAGCTTTTTATAATGTCTGGGGAGCGCCAACTCTCACTGTTCTGGATCAATGAATTGCAAATTGGAATATAGAGACACAAAAATGGCTTCTATCTTTGTGAATTTTCCTCTCATTGATTCTAGACTTTTTGTTTCATATGATGAGTTGTGATGTTTTAACAATAAAATCAGTATCACAAGCATACTCAATAATACATCCATTTCTGTTTCTCTCTCTTTCTGCTTATTCATGAGACAATGTTTTTATGCATATTTGACAATAAATCTGCTTTGCATGCATTCATAATCCCTCCCCTGACAAAACCCATTGCAAATGCTCCCTATATTTGCATCATAGCTTCAGGCCACAAAATTCACATCCAATTTAAAACCTTACAACACCACAGCCTATTGAAATGAATCTCACGATCTTGCTCCCTCCCAACAGTTCTCTCAGACCAGAGGCCTTTAGCAGTGTACACGTGGCTCTTCAGCTGCAGTGATATTGGCAGGGGGCTTCGTGAGGTCTCAACTCGTGTTTCGGCCCCATGTGGCGGCACACTGACAGGTGGGATTGCTGCAGTGTTGCTGTGGCAGTAGAGGCTTACCGTTTCAACGCTAACAAGAGTCAAATACCCAGCAGCCGAGGAGAAATCCAACGCCGACCTCCAGGATAGGATAAGCGAGCAGTGACTTACTTAGGCTTTGGCAGTGCCAGCTTGGCTGATTCACAGATTTCCTTTCATTTCACACCTTCTATTGTTTTTTTATTCATGCTTCTTTTTCAGTTTCACTATGAAAACATGCTGTAACTTTGAGAACTCAAAGCTTTGTCAGTGAAAAAATATAATTTATTAAAACAAAGATGCAAAAGCAACCTGTTCCATTTCTGAAACTTTCTAAGGATAGACTGACAGACATATGAATACAGGACTCATGTAACCCCACCAAAATGTACATGTGAACAACTCATATTTCATATTCACAAACTAACAATTAAGGCTTCTTTTTTTAAACATTAGCAGCTGTAGAAAAATGGCTGGGGGAAAAAAATGTAAAAAACTTGACACTACAGGGGTTCCAAGCTTTAGATATCTGAACTGAAAACTCGAAATTCATCTTATTACTGGATGTGAAGTGAATGACATGTATGATCAAAAATATAATTTTTTGATCAGCATATTTTAGGTTGTGCTGAATTCATACTTCACACAGATCTGGGCAGGTTGTATTTTTAGGTCTCAGAGATCTTAGTGATAGCCCAGGTGAGGAGGCTTTTTATATATATATTTTTTCCAAGAGGTAGTAGAAAGACAAGACAGTGAATCATAAAGAGACTATTCCCTCAGGAAAAGAAACCAACGCAATAGAAACAATTCAGCCGCAGCCAGAATGGCTTTCTGTTCTCGTTGATGCTCTGGGAGGGACCACAAGCTGAATTTGATACAGAAAGAGAAGTGGACAGTGTAATTTACAAGGCAACCAACATTACCTTCTTGAAAAAACAAAAACACAAAACAAACAAACAAAAAAACACAAAAAAGAAAATAAATGAACAACAACAACAATTGATAATGATACTAATATTAATACTAATTATTATTACTATTATTATTCCCTCTCTATAGTTACTATAGTATAATTATGTGAGAACATTAAAACAAAGCAATAAAAACTTTCTCTCTTTATATATGTGTGTACCACTGTATATATATATATTAATTCTCTCTCTCTGTAGGCTTATAATGTTATTAATAATCCTTAACAGTATTGTGATAACATAGGGTAAAGGGGAAAACCACATTTTGATTGATCATACTAAAATATTAACTTTTGACGGGCCATAATGCACTTAAATTTGTTAGCTTGAGTCATGAGTTGCTCCAAAAACTGCTAAAACACATGGCTGGGTTATGATGCACAACCGTCCAAAATGTATGTAATCACATTGATGTAAGCCCTAACACTCTCCTGTTCCTGTGTATATAGGTCTATAGACTAGATGAGGCAGCTCAACTAAAAATCCACATGCTCTATGAATCTAGGTCAACAGACACAAAGGGATTGTTTAACTTGGAACAGCCAAGAAAACAGGATTCTCTACCTGTCATGCCTATTTCTCATACATGCGCAAGCAGAGTTATTTTAATCATTTGTCATCCTCGTAGTGAGCAGCATCTACCGGTTGCCATGTTGTGCCTATTTTAACACAGTTTTGACTCTCTCTCTCTTTCCAAATGTCTGCTAAACTGTGGCTTACCACAATTTTCCCCCTGACTCTTTACCTTCCAAAAAAAAAAAAAAAACTTTTAATAAATCTTATAAATGATTTTTTTTCCCAAAGCCACTTTTTTTATTACTAAAATTCAGTGCTTGGCAGGTGTTCATTTTGGACCCTGGCTGTATGCCATGGTAGCCAATGCATCATAGACTCGTACATGCTTGGAGGACACTGTCTGTACATGGTACTTAGCATAGCTTTTAGATCTGTAACGAATCAGTTCATGGGAAATATGAATAATTAACCATAACTAGTTATAATTAATTATGAATATTTTAGATCCGCTGTAGATATTTAGCTGACCACTGAGGGGGGTTACAGAGTATTTGTTAAATATAGCTAACAAAATATATATTGTGTGTTTGATTGGTACAGACGCTACAGATCTTTGAACACAATGGTACCCTTACAGTGATAGCACTTCAGCAAATTGGTGAGAGCAAACATGAGCTTATTGAGAAAGTGACTGGTTGCACAGTTCAAGCATAATGCTTTGTGTTGAATAAGAGCCAGTAGACGTAAAATGCAGCACATAACCATCTAATGTAAAATGTGTAATGGGTTATAGAAAGTTGACTCTTGATGCAGCCCTGCATATCTAATTTTAATACAAAAACTACACTGTCAGACTCTGCTAGACTCAAAAAGGGCAGTCAGATACAAGCAGCCAGGCTTTTTATTTAGATATAATGACTAAATAATGGTACATGGGCCATTAGTCAATCATTACATCTAGAAAAAAAATCAGGGCACACTTACAAAATACCATTTAATCTATTAATACAATAATAAGACACCCTTCGGGTGAACTAGATGCATTCACTGGAGAGAAAAAAAAAGATCAAGGATGGTCTGGGGGAAGCAGCAGTATATAACATTCTGAATAGCAGGGGTCACAAAATACATCTAAAGCAGCATAAAGTATCAGTTCATATAGACTCCAAACACATCAAATCAGTGCCTGTCACTTTCTGATAGACTAAAAGCACAAATTGCTTCGCTTTATGTAGATGATTAAAAATGCCCTGAAAAGCCCTGCCATGCAAATAGATTTAATAGCATTATCTTTCTATAGAATCCACCCTCTCCAGTGAATTGATCCTTTGAGACCATCACCACCTTGTTTTGAGGAACAGACAGATGCATGGATGTCCTTGACTTTAAGTTGGGAGGGAAGAGTGTTCAGGGAATTAATCAGAGCCAGAGCATTTGAACTAGCTAAGCTTCAGTCAAATAAATGGGCCACCTAAAACAACACCACCAATTACCACTGATTAAAATGAGGACACTTGGCTTCTGCTCCTTCTTGACTCTTCAGTTTCAAACATGCAATGTCTCTGTGTTCCATTAGGCAAATGAGGAAAAGACTGCTCATGCAAAACCTACGGCAGTGAACCCTCACATCCAGGAAATGTTATTTGAAACGGTGCTCACGCTTCATACAAAAGGTGAACACTTCAGTGTCAGAAATTCTCTGCCTCCATTTTGTGAATCCTATTTTCAACCTTGAAAAAAGCCCACAGAGCCGAAACAAGCCTCTAATGAATTTCTGCAAAGTGCCACTTTTAATTAGCAGAGAAGGGACCTTAGACAGCTCTCAGGCTATGACAAAGCTGTCATTGTTAGCATGACTAAGAGCTTCATGCAACAACGAGAGTCCCAGAGAGGAGGGCAATGAGACACGAGAGTAGGAAAAAGGAGGCGGAAGAGAAGAGCAAGACAGAGAGAGAGAGAGGGAAAGGTGAAGACAAAATGAGAGAGAGCGAGATTTACTGGCAGATTGTTCCAGAAGGATCATTCTAACAGAAAATGGGTCATGGAATTGTCATCGGACTGAAACCGCTGAGCCTCCCATCCGTAGTGATTGCATTTATTTCTTGAGCGAACATTAGGATGACCCTTTCCCTCCATCGCAGAAACAGGAAGTGCAGTCATACCTGCAGTGTTTGTGTGGGCCGCTCAGGGTCTCGATGACAAAGCACTCCCCATCATTCAGGCAATAGGCCAGGTCTTTCTCCTGACATGGCTTGAAATGCTCCGATTTCAAAGGCGGTAGAGTTGGTGATGCTGAGGGATAAAGAAGAAAAGAGGAGAAAAATTATGCCATGCAACAGATTAAGAGGAAAAATATGTCAGCCAGGTGAGCAAAAGGTTAGGTGAGTGAGTCAGAGAGACCAAGATGATGACTAATAGTTGTAATATGGGGGATAATGCCACATATTTTGCAAAATCACAAACCTGTATGACCTTCTTCTGTGTAGATTTCTTTTCTTTCTTTTTTTGGCCATAAAATTTAAAGTTGTATGTTGTTTTGGACCCCATTGACTTTCATTCTGACAAAAACAGTTGAAACAATAGCTGAAATATCTTTGTTTAATGTTATAAAAATAATCAAATCATACAGGTTTGGAATGGCATGAGGGGCGAGTAAAGGGATAATTCACCCCAAAATTAAAATTCTGTCATCATTTAACTAGATCATAACATACCAATCCTCTATTACATTTAGGCTGATGATACATGGGGCAACTTTTTAAGCAATATTGCTGGGCAACTTTGGTTAATGTTGGCATCAACGGGCAACTAGATGAGACACAGGGCCTACGATTGATTTAAAGTATCCAGATATAAATTTGTTACCCATTCTCAGAGGGAAAGTTCCTAAGCAAACATTGCTCAAAAAAAGTTGCTTGGCAAAATTGCTAAAAAAGTTGCCCAGTGTATCATCAGCCTTGTATTGTATTTACTGTATGTTTTTCACTATCTTAGCACACAATCTACCAGCTTTCTGTATGGATTACACCATTTTAAGCACTGACAGGAAGTACAAGAGCTCTGAAGTCTTTTGGTAGAATATTTCATCACCATTAAAACCAATAGCTTTCAACACTTCACCTTCTACTGTACTTCATAATCCAAGACATCTCCTCAGATGGCTACCAAAAAAAAGAATACTTTAAAGCAACATCAAAGATCACCACATAACTACCAGATAATGCAAGAGACATCATCAATACCTTTCTGAAACAAGCAACCAAATGTCATCTTATTACTCTGCTGAGCATAGCTTGCTATTACTTGTTGTACAGTGTGCATGAATTTGTTTTGCTCCTGATCCATTACTGAAGGATGATGAATGAGGTTCAATGAAGTAATCACTCTCTCTGGCTACTTAGAATTAATACAGGAGTCTACTATTTTGGAAAAAGAATTCATTGTGATTAATGACGCCAAGTTCACTTTGCTAAAGCCAACATAATAAGGTAACCTTGCACTTATTACAGTCTTCAAAACGTGTGCAAGCTTACCTGCTGAAAATCTGTAAACAGAACTAATAATATGCCTGAGAGAGTAGTTAGAGGAGGAATATACTGTCTAGTTGAGTGAACGAAGGTCACCTTGTACAACGCACAAACAAGATTGACCACATAGTAATAATACATTTCAACTAAATCATGTTCTGCATGGAAAGAATGTTCTATGTATAAGTATTATTCAATTATTTTCAACTAAACTGCTTAGTAGTGCGCAATACGATTGACATTTGAACCAAAACGTAATTCTCAATATCACCACAACTACAAATATATACAACTACAAATATATCCAACTTTACCTACCAACAGAAAAGTCATGCAAAGACACCCATGTAAAACAATATATACCGAATAGCAAATGCCAGCTGCTTGATTGTTTAATATTAGCCAGTGATATATTTAAAATTGGATATACTGTATATCCAACTTTATCTGCATACATACAGTACATTCAATTAAAGCAATTGCAAATCTCGGCTACGTGATTTTTACTACTGTTGCAAAGTCTAAGCTATATTATCTCACAGATCTATATATCAAGTTGGATATACAGTACATCCAACTTAATCTGCATACATACAATGCACTCATTTATAAAGCAATAGCAATATCTGCTCAATGTGACTATAAAGCCTGAAGATATTAAGATACTACTAACATCATGATTTTCTGTAAAGCTGCTTAGAAACAAAATGTATTCTAAAAATGCTATACAAACAAAATCGACTTGCTTTGTTTCTTTGCACAAATATTCAAACTACCCTTGTATTTGTCAAATTAATTATGAGTTGTCATGATCAATTACACCAATTAATTACATATCAATATTTGGTAAGAAAAGCCCCCATTTGTACATAATGACTGCAGAGTAGGAAAAAACATCAACATTAAAGCTTATGGAATTTATTTATGGCGTCGAAAAGCATGATTAATTGCATTTTACATATAATTGTAATATACAAATAAATAATTAACAAAAATTAACATTCATTTTGCATGATTTTTTTGGCAGCCACTAATAACGTTGTTTGAGTATCAGCTGTGGAAGATATCATATTCACACTCATTCATTTTCAGGATATTCACCAGGTCCTCTGAGGCTAATTTGGCATGCGTTCAGGCCGCCAGGTGACGTGACAGAACGGCCCCGAGGAGGATCTCAGGACCCTAATAAATAAAACTATAAATGTTTTTAATAAAAACTCCATTCAGTTTCCAATAATTGCATCTGAGTGCATAGCCAGACCTTTTGACAAACTGCTGTCGGAATCAATGCAAAGCGCTTGTGCTTTGTGTTCAAAGCAAAAACGGGTTGTGCAGAGAACAAGGTCTCCATTAGTCATCCCTCAGAACACTGATGATATTGATAACAGCTTAGTAGCCCATCAGCTTCATTACTGGGCCCTTTCCTTAGGATTCACAGAGTCTGGTTTCCTGCAGACTGTCAGTTTCCTCTGGCAGGAGGTGAGAAAGGGCCAAGTGTCTAAGAGATTGGAGATCTACTCAGACCCTGACATCCCCTCTATCTTAGTTTGTTTCCGTGGGCCGAGGCAGGTGCAGGGTGTTAAGGGATGGGATTCCCCAGGGCCAAGCACTGATGCCGTCTCTCAGATGTGACATTCCCCCAGAGTGCCTGGCGGCTTGACATACAGTGAAGGTCACAGAGAATCGATTAGCTCAGAAACAGCAATACAGAGAACACTCTGAGAGGACAGAGAGAACTGTGGACAAAGCTCTCAAAGTTAGCTGATGATTTATGCAGCTCACTGAAATGTTAGCTTAAAGAGATAGTCCACCTAAGAATGAAAATTCTGCCCTCATTTATTCACCATCACGTTCTTCCAAACATGTATGCATTTCTTTCATCTGCTGAAAACAAAATAAGATATTTTGAAGAATGTTGGTCACTTGGTACCTATTGATTTTCAATGTCTATATAATAAAAGTCGATGGGAGCATTCTTCAAAGTATCTTTTGCTCCACATACAGATTTGGAATGACACGAGGGTAAGTGGTTAAATAATTAAGCATAATCACATGATCTGTTACACAATTTTAGACTTTTGACAGCTATTCTGTAAGAACCCAGTATCCATCAGGCTGTTTCAGTGTCCAGTTGTAAAGCTGAGACACTTTATCTTCCCTTTCTGTCAACAAATGCATCAAACGCTTGTGACATGAGAGAAGCAAGTCAACAAAATAGCTGCTTATCTATGAATACTCATATCTGGCAAAATGTCATATCTCTGATGGAACTTCAGCAATCCAGCAGCAGAAATTCACTGATATAGATCTTTTCAAAAACAGATCACAGTTTACAAGGTGAGGCTTCAGTAATTTGTTTTATCAAAGTCAGGATGTAGTGAATAGCTATGGTCTTGTCCTTGTAGATTTGAATTCCCTCATCACAGAGCACTTGTTGTTGGCTAGAAATGTCAGACATTGACAATCTCTCTCTGGCTGTCTTGCTATCTCACTCGTCTCTCTCCCCCCATTTCTCGTCTGAATGCAGAGGTCAATGGCGATTTCCTGTCACTGAAAGAAGACCACCTCCCATGCCATAGTTCTGCAGGCCACTCTGTGTTTTTGGTCTCTCTGTTGGCTGATAGGTTTAGGGCGTTCTTCCTTTAGCCAGCCATTTACAACGGCCCCCAAGTCCCTCAGAGCACAATGTTCTGGTCTGCAACCACGCCAAGGTGCAAGTACAGAGCAGGGCCAGTAGGGAAAAACACAGCGAATAGGTGACAGGAATGATAGATGTAACCAGAAGAAAAGGCATTCAGTGAAAAACAATACAGAGAGCAATAGAAACTGGGAACACATTTTCCCATAAGAAGGGAAAAATCACAGATGGGATCTTTTTAATATCTTTATTATTTCTCCCAGTCAGTCTACATGCTTCTCACATGTTTCTCATGAGGGTGAGATTATTATTATTATTTCTATTACCATCTCACTTGATTCTCCATTCATTTCAGAAGAGATCTCAGTGCAACATCTCAACTATTCTCAGATTTGCCAAGATCTCAAAATTAGATCCCAAAGATCCCAAAAGTCAAAGATTCAAAAATGTTAATAGTGTCTCAAACATTCATCATCATAATTTTACTGAATTTCACACAATTCTGTGATATCCAGATTATGCTCACCAAGAGTCAATAGGGGGTGCTAGAAAGTCTGTAAAATATGAAGAAAAATTGCCAAAAGACTTATATATAAATATACTCATATATATATATATATATCTCTCTCTTTATATATATATATATATATATATCTATATCTATATACACACACGCATATACACTAATGGAAGCTGTGCGTATTGGCATAAACCTTGCATCTGGAAGATGAGGCTTAGCTCTCATTGGGCGAGGGAGCCGTCTGTGATGATATAGACTGGTGACGTTTAAGGCAACAAACTTCCATGGTCAAAAAGAAGAAGAAAATAAAGCACAAAGGGATATCCATGCCTGCACGTCCTGTTGGAACAGTCGATCCATTTCCCAAAACAACCAGAGTATCTGTTAAAAAAAAAAAAAAAGAACAATCTCGCCGACCTTTTAGGGCTGTCAAAGTTATGCACTTATTAATTAAGTACATTTTGTAATAGTAATATTATCTACATATTAGATAATGTTACTATTTTGGTTTCTAAATACTAGTCAGAAATCAGTAAGATTTTGTAACAGTAAGAAAACATCAGCATAAAATAAAATAAATAAATAAATAAATATAAAATAAATATAA